GAGATGATCAACATCATTAGTCATTAGAAATGAATATCAAAACTACAATGAGATACCACTTTATATTCAATAAGATAGCTATAATAAAGAAGGTGAACAGTAGCAAGTGTTGATGAGGATGTAGAGAAATTGTAATCTTCATGTATTGGGTGGTGGACATGTGAAACGATGAAGCCATCCTATGGAGAGATGTGGATAAGGGATGGGGAGTGGCTGCTAATGGGTACAGGATTTCTTTTTTGGAATAATGGAAATGTTCTAAAATTAGATTGGGGTGATTTCACAACTGTTTGAATACACTAAAAACATCAAACTGTATGCTTAAAGTGAGTGAATTGTATGGAAAATGAATTAGATTTCTGTAAAATTGGGAAAAAGTCAATAATAGCTTTGAATTTGTAACTTGGAGGCAAAATCAACATTATGCAGAGTAAAAGGCATATTGAGTTTCAAAGCTCAAAGAAATGGGAAGTGTATAGTTTGTAGTATGTTAGGTAATAAAAGCAATTTTTTAATAATTCCTTGTAATACAGATTCTATGAATATAGTAGTCTTACCTCCCTGAGCATTGTAAACCTGCCCTGAGCATTGTGAACTGTTTTTGAGAGGCTATGCTTGTTATTTCTTGTTTATACTACTATGTTGGTTCTAGGAAAAATGTGACAGTATGTAAAATTTGGTCTTACATTCTTGCATGCCCCCCCACCAGCCCAGTATTCCTTTAATCCCTTCTCTTTGATGACACACACACACCATTTTATAGAATTCAAAATGTCTTGCCCTCTCCACTGATTTCCATTCCAACCAAAAATTTCTGTTCCCTTAATGGGTCTTTATCTAGGTGTTTTAGGGTAAGTGGTTTATTGCATTGGTTCATATAAGTGATACTTCCTTGATATTTAATATTTTAAAAGATTATAGAATAAGAGTCAGCAAACTTTTTCTATAAAGAGCCAGATGTAAATATTTTCAGCTTTACAGGCCATACATTTGCTGTTGCAGCTACTTAACCTTGCTATTGTAGGGCAAAACAGCCAAAAACGACATGTGAATGAATGGACATGGCCTGATTCGACCCTGAACAGGCGAGATCAAGCCATAGTTTGCCAAGTCATGTTATAAAATTTTTAATTCAGAGGCTCACTATCAAGACAAAATGGGATAAAGAAATTTAAGTGCAGTAAAGGTAGGCAGTTATATCACCTACTCCTCCCACTTATGAAAGTGGTTCCATTTCTTCACTGTTTTATCTTTCTTCCAAGGTTATCTGAGGAACAGAGGTCAGAACCTCAGCACATCACTTTTCAAAGTTTTTCAAGCCTTGTTAAAATACCAGATTTGATATAACCACTAAAGACTATGACATGAGAGTTGAGGTTATTATTAAGATTAGGTCAATATATATGTATGTATAAATATAAATGTGTATGTGTGCATACAAATTATATATTGTTTTGTGTGTGTATATAATTTTCTAATATATTTACTGTAGAATGCATTTAGATAATCTTTAAAATGTCCCAAATTTATTGAATAGGAATGTAAAAAGGAAACATAAATTTGAGATAAACTATGGAAAAATAACTGGATTATTTGGCCCTGCTACAGTAGGTAAAGAAGAATCAAGATCAATATAGCTAGCATCTCATGTAATCGTATTCTGAATTGATTTAAATATTTTACTTAAGTATGATGTTTGTTTAGCTTTTTGAGTATGTGATAATTGTTCGTGGGTAAAAGCATTGCAGTGTTGAACAATGACATTGTTTTAGATCATGGCTATTATGTTGTGAAGCAGATGAGTCCATAAGGTGCACTTCGTGTATATAAGATTATATTTCAACTGATATTTTCAAATAAGAATGATAAAAAAAATTTGCATTTTCCATATCAGTGTTTTACAAATTTCTGGATAATGCAGAATGAACATCCCTTAATTGATGGATTTCTTAGAAAAACAAAATGTTATTAACCCTGGGGAGTTCAAGCCACTAAGCAAAACAAAATGGCATATTATGGGCCGGCCCGTGGCTCACTCGGTAGAGTGCGGTGCTGATAACACCAAGGCCAC